ACATAAACTATAGAATTCACAGTAACTTTAAAAGATAAAAAGAGATGACTCTTAGAAATGAATGAATGAAGAATATGAACTGTGGTAAATAGGTTTATAAGTTTCTAATGCTATCCTAACATAACTCTAGCTCACTACAATGACACAGGGACAACTGTTATCAGAAATGGAAAATATTCCTCATTTAATAATGAGAACATTTTTTGGAAAATTCACGAAAGTAACATTAGACAATATGTAATACATAATAAATATTTGATAAATGAATATCTATAGCATTTACTAAAGACTAGTAAAGATTTTATTTCAATTCACTGAGCAAACAATTGAGCTAAAACCTTCCAATACTAGGATTGTTATGAGCATATTAATATAAAGAATATTGATGGTCTCTGACTTAGAATTTAACTTGTTATTTTTCAACTTTATGGTGGCACTTAAGTGTGTATGCTAATATGCATTGAATAGAAAGTTTACTTTGAATGTTTTTAAAATCTTTGCCCAAGCTAGAAATATTCTGTAATATACCCCCTTGAAATGCTGGATAACTATGACCAGCCCCAGCTCTCAATGAGCCAGGCAATAAGAAGAGTGAACAACCAATACTCTATAGTGTACTAGGTCACCAGAGGTTTTTGTTGTTGTTGTTGTTGTTTGTTTATCTGTTACAGGTATTTGATAAATAACATGAGGTATTCAACACGTTATTAGAAAATAGGCTTATTGTTAGATGATTTTGCCCAACTATAGGCTAATGTAAGTATTCTGACCATGTTTGAGGTCAGCACAGTTAAGGTATCTGTTTGGTTGGTTAAGTATATTAAATGCATTTTCAACTTTTGATATTTTATTGGTTTATTGGGACATAACCTTGTCTAAAGTTGGGAGTTTCTGTACCAAGAATACTGTTTCATGAAAAAAAAAATATCAGGAAAACTACTATTTTCTCCATGTGCTTATCAAGATCACCCCTTTTACTTCTAGAACTTCTCACCTATGTTGTATGAGAGAATTTCCTGACTTTCTTCCTGTTTTATAATCTCTGGTGGGGGCAGCTTGTGCCTCTTTGCTGTATCCTCACATGGCAGAAAGGGCAAAAGAGGAAGCTGGACTCTTTCTTTCTAGCCTTTTTATAAGGCACTAATTCCATCCATCAGAGCAGAACTTACATTGCCTAATCATCTCCTGAAAACACCTGCCTCTTTTTATTGATAACCTGCACATTAGATTTCAACACAAATTTTGAAGAGGATATATTCAAACCATATCACTTGGCCTACATAGTGTTTTAAGCTGAAGGAAACAGAGGTACATGTCAGAAGCAGAAAGTTCTCCTAATCTGTTACCCTTCTCTTCTGAAGGAGTTCACAGAAACTAGAATTCTTCTTGCCTTTTATTCAGAGAAGTAGGCTATAAAACCTAGGAAGGGTCATTGTCTGACCTTCTTTCTCCTTCTTCTGTAATGGAACGAACAGGTGTCCTGCCCCATACCCAGAAGGAAGCAATGTTGCATAGAGAAGTCAAGTATCTGAACAAACAGACCTTGTTTAGTTGTCCTCTGCAGCCCATCCCAGTTTATTATAATTACATCATACTCCTCTGTCTTATGATCACAACAATTCATAAAAATACAGTATTACTTGTTTCTTTGGCTCTTCATATATGAAGGCTCTTGTGCTATTAAAAACTTGCATTAAATAAATGTGTGTGCTTTTCTTTTGTTGATAATGTCTTTTCTTATAGAGGTTTCAGCCATGAACCTTGCAATGGGTAAGAGAAGAAATCTTTTCTCCCCCACACTATCTATTTTCTTCTGACTCAGAAAAGCAACCAATTTGTATAGAAAAGGGAGACAAAGGTGATGTGTTTCCTTCTAAAATCACTGGAATCAGGAGGCTGAAAGCAGCCAGGCAACTCTTCTTACAGGAGACTATTTCTCTTTTTTGGTCAATTTTTTTGACATTTACCTTAAAAGGCATGAACCATCACTTCTAAAACTTATTATACCTTTTTACAGGCATACTCTAAAAAGGTGATTTAATGTTACTCAAGTTCCTGAGAAGACTTATATGATTGAAAATAATTGGGGGGTTATGGGATTAAACCTAGGGGTGCTTTACCACTGAGATATAAAAACAGCCCTTTTAATATAATGTTTTTATTTTGAGATAGGGTCTTACTAAGTTGCTTATGGTCTCACTAAGATGCTAAGGCTGGCCTTGAACTTGCAATCTTCCTGCCTCATCCTTCCAAGTCACTGGGATTACAAGTATATGCCACTGTACACGTCTATGATGAAAATTTTTATTACTATAAGTACAACCTGCCACTACTTGACAATATCCCTGTTGATATGTGAAATAAAAGTAGGGGCTTCACTATGGTGATCACCATTGTCTGTACCTACAGAATTCTGTGATTTAACAGACATTTACTAAATGCCTACACTAGGCAAGGTTGTGGGCATTATTATGAGTACATGGTAATTAACAAACCAGATATGATCTCTGTGATGGGGATAGCAAAAATGATGTAAGTGCCAGACTGTCAGCAGCTTAAGGTCAAGTTTCTATTTTGTGCACTGCTACATTTTCTTTGCTCAGCAATAAACCATTGAACACTAACTGTAAGCTTTGGTGGATACTATGAAAGAGTAAGGTGAACATAAGGTGCCATCTTACATAGACCAATCTAAGGATTAGGCAAAAAGATTCAATGTACCTATTTAGTTGCTCTGTGGCCATCAGGCCATTGCTGCTTACCATAGCCCTGTTGCTGTTCTCAAAGTCCAAAAAGGTAGAGAATCCTATTCAGTTTCTGAATTCACAGTCCATATAGAAATATTAGCATGTAGTAGGAAAGGTGATTTTAAGACAAACTACTGTCATACTGTGCCCATAGTAATTCAGTTTAAAGTGCCAGTGCCTAAAGCAAAGCAATTTTTGACAGGGGATAGAAACACTAGAAGATCATCCAGTACAAAGAATCCTATAATAAAAATGAAAACATGATTCTGATTTTAAAACAGGATCAATTATCACACAATCAAAAATTTCTTTTCTTTTTTAGATGTCCAGAAGGGTACAAAAATATAAAGCAGGCATCGGATCTCACAATAATGTATACATGATGATCATGCATTTTGTCTGCCTCTTTCTAGAAGACTGAAACTCTCGATAAATACTGAAGGAGTCTTACACAAGAATAATAATTTCTACAATAGTTTTACTGCTGTTATTAATTAGTTTTTAACTAACTCAATATTCTTTTTCTCTGAAATAAACTGCTGTATATTTTATTTTGTTTTCTTAAATATGATATGCAAAGTAACAGCCCCTTACATTTTAATATAGTTTTCAATCCCCTTGTGGACAAACAGTCACACTTTAGTGCCACTTAAATAAAGAATAGCCATTCATCTGTAACAGACAGATTCAGAATGCTCTGGATTTTCATTTAAAAGTGCTTAATTACCTGCATGAAGACAGAAATAAAATAAGGAGTCCAGGCCAAGTTCATGAGGGTTTGAAATTACTTTTCTTTTTCTAAATGAGCAACAGAAACTCAAAGTTGCAAGCTGTTGTGTGGCCATAAGCCAACTACAGAAGAAACTGTTCAAATGAATGAGGGGATCAGGAATTAAATTCAAGTGTATGAGGCAAGAACCAAAATCAAAAGGTGAAAAAAGAAGGCTGTGTTTCCAGTCACAGGACAATATATTATATTTGAATGAAAACGATCTAATCAGGGATAAAGTGAAACCCTCATGGTAAGTATGTGAATGTAGCCAGTTATGTAATCCAAGGTTAATTTTGAGGATTACCTATCTCCAAACACTTGTGAGATTATGCTTCCAACATTCCTAGTATAAAAGTACTCTGCATAGTTAAAAGAAAACATAAAACACAGTGTTAATTCATGAACAAAAACAGTGAGAACAAAAAGAACTTTCAACATAAGTCTAAATTGTCATGCTCAAATAATTTGGGTTCAGAACCAAGACATCCAAGTTGGGAAGAAAAGAAAGTATATAAGAGAAGAAAAGGCAATATTTTAACCTTGAAACAAGGTGACTCCCATGTATTTGTAGAAGGAATTAATATCAGATAAAGAATTTACAGTATTTATTCCCTCTAGAGATATAAAATGGTGAATCAATCTGCAGTTCAAGATATTTATTTAAACCCAGAGGAGGAGGATATGGCTATAACTTTGAAAACCAAAATAGAAAAAAAAAACCCTCAGCTCTAATGTAGTTTATCTTTAGACACCAGCTTTAACATTAAACAATTCAAGCTAAATGCTATTTCTCAAGTTCTCCCTTCATATATTTCTATAATTTATGAGTATACCACATATAAAATAGGAGTTTTAAAAATATTTTAGTCAGAAATGCTTAATGTTTTACATTTATATGTATATACAAATATAAATTATAATTTAAATATATCACCTACTGATCAATTCATCTATTCATGCATGCATCTATTTGTATTTCATAATCCTCTTAGTCTACTGATATTAGTCATCTTCCAATTATCCTCCAAAACATACAAATGCCATCAGAAAATACACACATGTCCTCAAAAAATGAATGCACACATGCAAAAAGAAAATGAAAATCTCAGACCAAAAAAATCTAATATCCATCACCTCTTTTATGCTCTTGGTTACATAAGAAGATTCTTTCTTTTGTTTTGTTTTAGGTCTAATCAAGCCTCATAAGACTTACCTTGCATATCTTGTGGGCTTTCAAATGAAATTCTTCTTTGAGAAATGGCAATTTTTCAGGTCTAATTGTTCCCTTGCTTATACTCTACCTGTTTCCAAGCATCATGAAACAAAATTTATGCAGCTAATATAAAAACAGCATACACACAAATTCATCCAGACAGTGTTAGAGACCATGGAGTCTAGAATTAACCACATGGTAAATAGGTAGACAGACAGACAGACACAGACTAACAAATAAACAAAATACTTAAATAAATAAAGGATATCGACATCTTTTCAACAAACTTATCATGTTGATTTTCTGCTTGGGGAACTTTCTTGATGTCACGTTCCAGATGAACAATTTGTTGTTCCATTGCTGCAAGGTTGCTCTTAAGATTTTGAGCTGAAACTAAATAACAAGGTGCAAAAGGCTTAGCATATTTTACCAGGTGTTCCACAAAATAACTAAAACCAATATCATTTAAAGTATTGTTTTAAAGTGTTGTTTTAACAGGGAGAACAGTTACATAAAGTCAACTCACATTTTTCCGAATTACTGCTCATAAAATTTCTACTCTCCATGAAATAAATGAAAATGTGTAATATAAAAAAATCATCATGTTTAATATGACAATGTCACCATTTTATTCAGCCATTACTTCAATGAATCCATTTCCATTTAAATTTATTGAAGAAATCTCTAATATTTCATTCTTTAAAATCTAATTTGAAGATTAAAGAGAAACTAAGGTTCAAAAAGAACTTATCTTATTAATGCATGTTCTTCACTCTATAAATGATTTAAGGTGAAATTTTATAAAAGAATCAAATATTCCTCTTTTGTTTAAATATGCTGATTTTTATAAACTAACACCTGTAGTAAAAGTTTCCATCTTCAGTCATTCTCATACTCAACAGAGATGTGAAAAATAGTTGTTGATATAGAAAGAGAATTCAGAGCAAACCTCAAAGAATACACATGCACATACACACCCACAAAGCTTTGGCATGCCTCAAACACTATCATTAGTTGCCTTAATTACCCCTAACATTCTTTGCACTTCTCTTTTTCTCTCATTGACAACTAATAATTTTAAGTATTGTGTTCCAACTGCATACTTTTCAGATCTCTCATGATGCCTTCTTTTCCCAGAGGTACTTAAAAAAAACTTTTAACTGTTTTCTAGATATAGCATGACTGCCAACTATGTACAAAGACATGTGTATCACTATCATCAGCAGGAGACAAGGTAAGCATTACAACTCCACAGGTAGGCAGCCTGTGACACTGGATTTTAAGTCCTGGCTGCTGAGTCTTGTTCTTTTCATTAAAGACTGTGCAGCAGAAATAGAGAAATATTATAATTATTTTTAAAGTAAATTTTGTTTCATTCAGAGACACAGCAGCATTACAATGAAAAATTTAAGAGATTGAAAAAAATCGACCCACTGACAAATTTCAACCAGACTGATCTGATACAAATTCATTGCGCTGACGCACACACCTTCATACTCAACAAGGAGAAATCACCTTAGATACACATGGAGGTTCAAGAGACTGAAAATCAAATACCAATAGTATAGACTATTTTTTCTATTAATCTGTCAATTAAATAGCTCTGTCCAAGTTAGTTCCATTTGTTTAGATCTGACAAGCTTGGAAATCATTCTTATTGGAGAATATAAGAGTTTTGTCTTGCCTAAAATTTGCTAATGATTCAGCATTAACTGCTCCCTTTATTTAAAACATGAGTTTGCTGGGAAGGAAAACATTCTTCCTAACTTTAAAATGGAAATATTTCCCTTAGGTTTTACTGGTACATTCTCTATAACTGTAAAATTGTTCTTCCCCACTTACTTGAAACTAAACATAAAAAATTGAACAGTTGCTTGTGTCATTCAAGTTACAGGGATGTGAACGGGTTCGAGGCAGGCTATCACAAAATATTGCACCTTGTCATAATGAGTATTTTAAGCTAAAGGAATTTGAGAAATGACATGTATAGGAGAGACTTAGATGGTCCCTGAAAGAGGTCATAAGAGTCTCATGTGAGAAGTATCCTTCTTAAACCCAGAGAAAACAAACCTTCTAATCTCTGAAGATGAGACAGAAAACTCTGAACAACTGAGCCTTGTTCAAAAGTTCCCTCATTCCAATGAGCTCCTATGTGTTTTTCTCCTATCAGGCTTTGAGATTCAATATTCTTCATCAAACCAACAGAAAATGCTCAGGTATAAGTGTTTTTTTGTGGGTCTTTATTTTTTCCTGAAAGTTATCATTACAGATAAAATTTAAATAATTCTAAATACGTATTTTTTTTTGTTGTTCTGTGTGGTGCCAGGGATTGAACCCAGGGCCTTGTAAATGCAAGGCAAGCACTCTACCAACTGAGCTAGAGCCTCAGCCCAGTAAGTAACATCTGCGGTAGAGCTCCACATTTTCATTTTACCCTGGGCCTCACAAATTATATAGTTAGTCTCCTTTCTCCAGATAAAGCACATATAACTTAAAAGTTAGATAGAGGGAGTGAGCAGTTCATTCACCTGCCAGTTCCTTCATGACTATAATTCTGTTTTAAAGAGTGTTAATTTCTTGCTCTGGCTAGGGAGCAAATAGCCTGGTGGTAGGGGCATGTTAAAGAAAGAGTGCCCAGTAAATCTAGGATGATGCACACTCTGGACCTAGAACAGAGTATTCCTTATATCCTAAGTGGCTTATTCCTTTTTTTGACAGTTGAAATTGTTAGAAATTTTTAAAATTTACTTAAGACTCAAAACCAGCCTATCTGAACTCATACCCATTAGCAATAATTTTGCCTGCACTGATCAAGTCTACTCTGTTTTATGAAAAATGCATGAGATGCATCTTTTTAATATACTCAGGTAAAACCAGTTCCTTCAATTAGTCTTCCCATGATATTAAATAATTAATTACTTAAATTTTTACAAAATAATAACTTAAAATAAAATCTGTACTTTTTATCACTCATGGCACAAAGCCATATTACTTTTACACACAGTTGTGGAGAGCTGGATGCAGCAAGAATGGTCTTAGGAACCGGACAGACGTACATTCTAAATCTCAGCCATACCAATTACTAGCCATACCAATTATAAGCCTATGGATTAGCTTCTCTGGACCTTCATTTCCTATATTTGCAAAATTCAGATAATAATATTCTCCTTAAATGTCAGTCATTCAAGTTAAATGCTTTAATAAATGTAAAGTATCTATCATTATACATGATGTATAACACATTAATCCATAAATACTCTTTTCATATTTCATTACCTTCCTGTCTATATCCTACTTTCCAACATACAAATTCTGTGTATGTGCCAACAAGAATTAAATAACTGAGATGCAAAAAACAAAAAAAGGAAGAGGATAAGAAGGATAAAAATAATGAAGAAGACTCAGAGAAAGAGGAAAACAAAAAGAGAGAAAAAAAGCAGAAGGAAACAACAGAACTAAACCAGATTTATTTACTGCTACATCTACTAGGGTCTGATTTCATTTAATATTGATCTTCTTTCTAATCAAGAGAAAGAAAAATAGATTGTATTTTTTGTTCGTATATTTTAGAAGGTATGTGGAATTTTAGGTTTGGGAACCAGTGACAATTATACTAACAAATAGCCAATCTGTTTGAAATAGTAGTAAGTTTCAAATTGAAAGATGATTCCAGGAAACTGAAATCTATACAATAGTCTATATTTCCATGGAGACATTTATAACATAGTTATTTTGGCTTTCTAGATTTGTCTAAAAGAAAACAAACAAAAATTTTAAAAAGTGTTAGAAAAGAATTAATATGTGTTTACCGGCCTGATGACTTGCCTTAGATACATTTGCCTCAATTTTAAGAGGGAGTCAAATAAAGTTATGCTTAACTATTTAATTAGCCCACCTAACACGTCATAGTTATTAGCAGGGTGTGTTTATATGTATAAAGAGAAATAGAGAGAAACAGAAATATTTTACTGAAGGTGGCAGTGAGATGAAGGTACTTGGAGTGACAGGAATATTTAAACAAAAGTGTGGGTTAGGAATGCTTGTCTTCTGCACAGTCACAGCCTCAGGGTATATTTTTGTGTCTGTCATTATATTAGTTCACTAATATAAATTAGGGAGTACTTAATGACAGTGCAAACATTTTATATCTGAGTAAATTCCCACTACAGGCATTTTCAATGACTGATTGGTCAGTCTGGTGGCACTTTAATTTTTTTTCTCTGATTTCATTTTTACATCTACTACTAAATTACTGAATTTGAATTGTAACACTAAAAATTAAATTATAGCTATTGGTTTTTCTATTATAACTTTCTTTCATGTACTCTAAATAATCTTTTAACATTAGTACGCTCTCTTACCTACTTGTTTCAGTTGAAAAATATACATGCACATTTTCCTGACTTTGAGGAAATATGACAGTGGCCTGATCATCACTCAAAACATTTTAAGTGATAAAATTTTGCTAATTCATGATTTTAAGAAAGAAAAATAAAAAGACACATACTTTAAGTGAGACTTCGAATTAAATGGCTTTTCAATTACATAGTATGTAAGAAAACTAATATAAATTTAAGGAAAAAAATCACAGTTCTCTGCTGACATTCTCTAGCTCATTTCAAAATACATAATTTTATGTAAATATAAAAGCTTTTCAATTATCTTGTGGATTTTTCTCAGAATTAAATATTTTTATTAATTTTAACTACTGATATGTAACAGAGCACTTCTTACATCTTTGCTCTAAGAAAGGCCACATAAAAATTTACTCTGGAAACTCTAAATATGAGCAGACCCAAACATGATTAAAATAACTCTGTAATTTTCCTTAACTGAATATTTTTATTTGGAGAATTAGTATCAGCTGGACAGCACACCATTAAAGTGACTCATCCAGAAAGCACACATTAAAAAAAGAACACCAAAATCAAAGGAATATTGGAAGCACATTGAACAATAAGCATTGTTTTATTCTTTTACAAGTGCATTTATACATTTATAGTTTAATTTTATAGGAAAGTTTTGACATGGAAATGAAGCAAGTATGTTTATACAAACACAATAACAAAAGATCATCATTGTGGCTTCTTCAGAATTTAAATGGCACCCAAATAAGAAATCCATACAATAAAAAAATTGTATTAGAAAACGACTCATTCTTAGGAGAAAAAACTTGGTAAGAAAATTAACTTCTACAATAGTAATACAGAAGAATGAGATTGAGAGGCAGAGTGAAGGGATGGGTAACAGGAGGCAGTGCAGAATGAATACTTTAAAAAAACACATAATGTGCATATATAAATAAACTATAGGGCAGGGTGTGGTGGCTCACACCTTAATCCCAGCAGCTCCAGAGGCTGAGACAGGGGGATCATGACTTCAAACCTAGCCTC